ATAAGAATAACTATAAAAATTAGATTACATTAAAGATTGGATATATAATAAATTTATAAGGATAAGTAAATCTTAATTTCATAAATACATGAAATAAATAATTAAATAGAGGGAATAGAATGATATGTTTAATTAGGATGTGACAAAAAAAATTATTATTTATTACTTTTGGATGAGAAAAAGAAATAATTGGGAGATAATATATCTTTTTTTTTTCTTTTTTCTATTTCATTTTTCAAATCAATATTAGATTTTTTAAGAATTTTCATATGGTGCTAACCGACTTCGAACTAAAAAAAATGAGGGACTTAGATGTTTTCCATCCATAATTTCTCTCACATCTCATAATTAAACGCTTGATTATAATTAAAATGAGGCCCACATGTTTGTCACATTAACTAACTAAAATACTCTTCATTTTTTACTAATTAAAATAGAAAAAAGATAATTCTTTATTTTGTCTAATTCTTTTGTTATCTATGTCACTACAAGAAAACATAGCAAAAAACACGGATTTTTAGCGACGCCGCGCCCCCCGTCGCAAAAAACGGTTTTTTGCGACGGTAACTGCACCTGTCGCAAATAATACCCCTTTAGCGATGGTACTGACCCGTCGGTAATGAAACCAAGTTTTACTAATTAAAATAGAAAAAAGATAATTCTTTATTTTGTCTAATTCTTTTGTTATCTATGTACTCCAACATTACTATTTATTTTATCTATTCATACACACAAACTGTTTAAAAAGTCTTCCAAGGCTCTTCAAATATTGCTAGAGTTGAAGAATTTTGTTAAAATAATTATGGTAATAGCCAACCCATTAGAGCTAATAAGCCTCATTTAAAGAGTCATTTGGAGATACTCTTATGATCGTTAAATTATGTAAAAATATCAAAATATAAAAATCTTGACACATTGTTTAACAATTGTGAATGTTTTGAGGTACAAAAATAAAAGGAAGAGGCTTCAGCATACTGTTGGGCTTCTTGAGGCCACCACAAGTCCCATTTTAATAATCTTTAATGGTTTGGATTATTGAAATGAGACGTGTAGTAGATCCCACAGGCCCAACAGTATGCTAGAGAAGCCGTCTCCAAAATAGAAATATTTATTGATTTTGTTTTGTTGGGGTTTCACTTATTTTGATTATTCTGGAAAAATAGTTAAAAGTTAATTTTTGACTTTTTTTTAAAAAACTTGTAAAAAATGTGAGAGATGATATGATTTAAAATGGGTGAAAAGTTAAAAAATCACTTTTAACCTTCTTCCAAAAGTCAAAAAAAAAAAAAAAAAAGAACTAACAGCTTTCAATAAAGCAAAATTGTACGTAATTTTGAGTACAACATTATAACTCATACAAAAATACAAAACATGAAACACACATTAAAGAGGAGGAGAAGAGAGAAAGCTATGAATAAGTCATAGAGAGTGAAGATGATGCTTTTGACTTTGAACTTTAGGGTTTGGATGTTCAAACTATTACAATTTATTAATAGATGAGAACTTGCTTTTCAAACCTAAGATTATGGACTGAAAAAGGATTTATCAAGGTTGATTTCTTCAATATTGACAAACAATATAATTAAGCACTATGCACAGGAACGGATCTAGAATTATGTCTTTGGGGAATTATTCTATAGTTTAAAAAATTTGGGATTACTCTATATAATTTTGAAATTATCTACAAAAAAATTGGGGATACGAACTCTTATAATTTTAAGTTATTTTAAATTTTTTAATATAATACATGATATTTTTCAAATTTTTAAGGGTACGGCCGCCTCCTACCCCCTCGATCCGTCATTGGTTATGCAGGTTGATGTTTTCTAAATTGACATTTTTTTTATTCTTTTTTTTTTTTCCGCAAAAGAAAAGTTATATGGTCAAGTGCCCTTGATGTCATGGCATTTTGATTCAGAAATGTCAAACCCTGAGGAGTTCCACAAAACTTCCATATCATTCAGTTTGGAGGTCAACAGAAGAAAAGAATCCCAAAAACAATCCCTTGTTTCGTATGATTGTATAATATATATTTAATGAACTCCAGAAAAATGTTGTAGATGATTTGTTTTCTCTGTTGTTGTTTGAAATAAATTCATTATTTTGATTTTAGAGAGATAACCATATCAGTTATTATTATGTAATTGTTACTGCTTTTCAAAAAACTATTATTGTAGATTTTTTTTTGAGCAGCTTATTGTAGATTGTTGTGAAACATAATTAAACATTTAAATTCATTTTATCCCCATGTAGTTTGGGGTAAGAGCACTTTAACTCTCTATCATTCAACATGAGTTAAAGTGCTTGAGTTAGTTTTTCCATCTAAATTAAAGAAAGGTGTATTACACACACCATTTTTAAGAATTGGGTTTTGTTTTCTTAAAAATTGTAATAAAATTAATACAACAAAAAGACAATTTTACTCCTATTTTTTCCAAATCTAAATTCAGATTAATATGTTAATTAAAATATAATTAAGAATTGATCTAAAATATAAAGATAATTAATAATTGATTTAAAATATAATTAAATAAAATATAAAATAAATAAGAATTAAGAATTGATCTAAAATGTAATTAAATTAAAATTAGATTAACATGTTAGAAATTATAATAAATAGCTAAGAATTGAGGATTAGTTGTGATCTAAAATATAATTAAATTAAAATTAGATTAAAAAGTTAATAATTACATCAAATAATTAAATATTTAGGGTTAATTTTGATCTAAAATATCATTAAATTAGAATTAGAATCAAAGTTTAAGAATTACAATAAATGATTAAGAATTTATAATTAATTGTGATTTAATTGAATTAATACTAGACATTATAAATTATGTGTATGAGAAATAAGAAAGAAAGAAAATAACAAAAACTATAGAATTTGAGGGTATTATAGTCATTTCACTTCTATAATTAATGGTGGACGTGTGATTATTTTTAAAAGATAGGGGGTATAGTACTATTACACCATACTATAAGGAGGTAAATGAATTTTGCCCCATAATTAAATTGAGGCCATGTTTGGGAGCATGCAAAATTAGTCCCCCAAAAAAAAAAAAAAAAAAACAAAAAGCCAACTTTGTAAATGTGTTTTTGTATAAAATTAAAAAATTACTAAACAATTTAGTTTCCAAACCAACGCTGAGACAAAATTATGTTGTCTTTTAATATAATAATATCCTAACTCGTTAGGATGTTTTTGGAAGTCTTAGGTGTGGTTTGGAGTTAATGTGGATAGAAATAAAAATTTCAATTGTATATATAAAAAAAAAAATGGTGAATGACTAATGTGCAAAACTTATTTTTTTAGTGGCCAGTTATCTTTTTTATTTTTTAGTGACTTATTTTTCTTTTGTGGCTTTTTTGAGGCAAAAAGCTAACTTTCCAAACAACCAATAACTTTACAATTGTAAATGAGATGTGATAAATCTATGGCATGGTATGCACAGCAAAAACAGGACACATCATAACAAAATTATTATTATTTTAGGTGTTAGTTATGCAAGTTTGGATTCATTTGGGAATAACTTTTTAGCTTTATTTATTTATTTTTTAGTTAATTTAGTCTAACTAAATTGGTTCTGTTTAAGTAGATTTTTTTGATTTTTTGTGACAGAAAAAATAAAATGAGTATGATTTAAATATGATATTTTGTTATTAACTTGTTTAACTTATTTTATCTTTTTGTGTTCTTTTAGTCCCAACCTACTTGCCAAACAAAAACTTTGTGTTAAAAAGCTAGGAATAAATGAATTTATGTTGTGTATTCTTAAAATGATAATTTTGAGCCATTGTCAATACGTTATGAAGAGTATAATATAAATGTTATATGTATCATTTGTACTTGAAATTGTTTTGAATCATTTTAATAAAAAAAAAAAAAAAAACAAATGACATATTGGCGTGTTTGTTATAGAACGTTATATTTATATTACATACACTATTAGGGTACATAGACGTATTTCTTTTTTAAGATAACCATCGTAACAACTAAACAATATTATCTGTCATGTTCGTTGCCGTTTTTTCTTCCTCTTCTTCTAACTACTCCAGAACTCATTCAAATTTACAAGGCTGACTTGAACAAAACCAACAATAGGTCCAAACATGGTGGTGAAGAACTCGAACATGCTATAGCTGCTACATCTTTTTTATCTGCAACCCGTTATCACCATATATGTCTGGAAAAAAATTGACAGAAATCCCAACATATTCTTACCTGATCATAAATCAATAATGCTACAGACCTTCAAAAAATACATCCCTTACTCACCTGTGATTGGTCCAAAAAAGAAAAAAAATAAATAAAAAAACAAGAACACATTATTGATTCACATTATTTTGAGATCATGGGAATCTCCAACTTTGAGGTCTCAAACATTTTTTTATCGGAAATGATGTGAATCTCCAACTTTGAGGTCTCCAACTTTGGGAATCTCCAACACGTGATTGGCCAGTTTTCTGTTTTTTTTTTTTTTTTTTTTTTTTTTTTTTTCTTTCTTCCAATCCCGCAGTGCCACGTGGCACTGGGGGGTCGGTGGGGGTGGCATTTGCTGGGGGTCTAAAGTATTATTCTATATATATACATTCCAGAAGCAAGTAATTGTTTCCCTATCAATGAAAAGAAATTTAGTAATTTTTAATTTTTTTTTTCTTTGGGTGCACAATTATGAGAAAACATATAAAAAATGAACACAACATAATTAAACACTATCAACACAAATTGTCATTGAAAGCACTCTATTCATTATCCGAATGTGAAGCACATCTTATCACATCAAATATGTAGAAACAAAAACAAATGTGAAAACTGATGATAAAGTGATAAGAATCATTTGTTATTCATGTTCCTCTAAATTGAAATCGCCTCAATTTTTTTTCCCCTCGTAATCACAAGCATTGCCGTTTGGAACGACACTTTTTCCACATTAACTGTCTAAGATTTTTACGAATATTTTGAAAATTCAAAGAAATATTATCAACATAATATTTCTATTATAAAATCTCATCCCTCCACCATTTACAATACATCCGGGTGCCCCAACACAAACCTTCTCGCCTAAATGACCGTGAGTTGTGCATAGCCCAACAATGGGTGAAGAGATAAAGGGGATAACATCAGGTCGTTAAAGATACCGTTCGCATTTTGATCCCATAAGGCGGTCCAGCTTGACGGCGTTAACGGACTACTCGTTTCACTACTAACCACCGATGCATCAGATTCCGGTAACCTCTCTTTCTTCACCGACCTTTCTTCTGTTTGTTCTTCAACCTCTCTCTGCCTCTTCGCGCCGCCGTTCTCCGCCTTAGAGGCGGTGGAGGAGGGTGCGGAGGCGGAGGTGGGTGAGCGACGCCATTTTCCAACTTCGAGAGGGAAGTTGAGAATAGCTTTGCTCCCACGCATCTTGAATGCGGCTCGATCGTAGGCTTTGGCGGCCTCCATGGCGGTGTCGAATGTTCCCAACCAAACCCTACACCCCCGCCGCTTCGGATCTCTGATCTCCGCCGCGAATTTCCCCCACGGCCTTTGTCGCACGCCTCTGTAGTGCTTCCTCTCCTCCGTATTCGACGATTTCTCTATTGAAAATGCAGGTTTACTCGGCTCCCCGAACTCCAACCACTCGAATTTCTTCACCGGAGCCAGGTCGATCTTCAACGACGGCTTTCGCTCGCTGAAGCTCGACCTAGAACTCGATTGATTGCTCGAATTCATTTCTTCCGGCCTCCTAAGATCGATTATTTGAGGCTTCGACTCAAATCCAAAGAAATCATTTTGATCGAAAGTGATTGAATCGGTTACAAAATCAATGATTTCAGTGCTTTCAACTTTGTTGGAGTTCAGGTAATCGGAGATTGTGATGGTAGAGTCACAGCTCAATGTCTGTGAACAGAAGGAATCAGATTGAGAGCTTGAACCCTCAGTCTGAACACTGACGAAGCTCTCAACAGGAGAGACCTCGCCGAGGAGGTGTTGTTCGATGAGCTCGAGATCCCAGATTTCTACTGGTGTCGCCATGGTTTAGCTCAACCAAAAGTTCTTGAAGCTCCGATGAGTTGAAAAGCTTAAATGTGTACTGAACTTTAGAGAGAGAAAGTTGAAGAAATCTAGAGAGAGAGAAAAACGATGGGGTTTGAATTGGATGAGAGTAGACGAGATTGGAAAGCTATATATAACCGAAAAAAAAAATTGACTTCCTTACAAAAGCGACTTCTGACATCAGCTTTGCGATTAATGAACAGAGCAGGACTCTTCCAAAATTCAAAGGAATAAGATATGATGCAGTGAAAGTCAGGAGTATGTGTTCGTATTTCATCTTAGTCGTTGGATTCTTCTAGGTACTTCAGTCGTCATCAGAGCATCATCCGACGGCTAGCATGCGAGTCGTTCGTTTTTGTCCCGTTGTGATTTAAAACTACCGACAAAATCCAGCATAACAGCAACTTTGTTTGGTTCTCAATTTTTTAAAAACAGTTTTCAAAAAATTTTATATTTTTATTTTTTGTGTTTTTTTGTTTTTATTAAATTTTTTAAATATTTTATGTAAATTTTTTACTTTTTAGACATACTTAACATAAATACACCTAAAAAGTAAAAAATTGTAAAAAAAATCTTTTAAAAATTCACTAAATACCAAAAACACAAAAAAAAATATACAAGAATTTAGTATATTTTTTGTATTTTTATGTATTTCTTAATTTTTTTCACAATTTTTTTTACTTTTTAGACACATCTAAATAAGGTACATCTAAAAAAGTAAAAAAAATGTTTAAAATTTTAAAAATATTCACTAAAAACAAAAAAATACGAAAATCAAAAAGCTCTATTTTCAAAAAACTTAATTCAGAAAACTCAAACCAAATACAGTGAATATCATTATTGAATAACCGGCGGTGCTATATGCAATAATTAATACACACATCAATGTATTAATTAATATTATGTTATTATTATGAGAAATGTTTGGAATCTTTTTTTTGGGGGGTTTCATGATTTCAAATTTGATATTGGCCCTTGATATGTGGGTACGGTCCATTTATGTATATGTGAGCCCCACATTATAAGTAGTTAGGATGAGAGTAGGGGTTGTGGGGTCATGTATGTGAGGAGGTCTCTATCACAATTATATTTATAATTTGTATAATAGGTGAAATCAATAATTATACAATTGTGATAGATGAATGGACCCCACACACACATTAAGGGCTAACAGAAATGATGCTCTATTAATATAGGGCAATGCTAGGGAGCTCGAAAATGAGCTCCCCCGAATCCCCTAATTTTGTTTTTTTTTTTTTTTCCAGAAGCAGAAAAGGAAGAGGAGGAAGAGGAAGGAGGAGGAGGAGGAGAGGAACTGGAGAGGGCCATAATCATAGGGGAGGAGGAGGAGGAGGAGGCGGAGGCGAGGCTGGGCAACGATCGGGCTGGGCTGGACGATGACGGGGACGACGATCGGGCTGGACGAAGACGACAACGACGGGGACCTCTCTTCTCTCTCTCTCTCTCTTTCTCTCCCTCTCCCTCTTCCTCTCTGCGACTGAACATGGAAGAAGACGAAGAAAAAAAATAAAAATAAAAATAATGCCCAAAACGACGTCGTTTTGGGCATTAGGGAGGGAGATTTTCGAGCTCTCAAACATTATTCATTAATATATTAGTTAGTACATTCATTAATAATTTATGAGATCTACTATGGATTTTATTTTGATAATTTAAATTATTTAATGTGTAAAATTTATAGAATATTTTATTTTTAGAAAAAAAAATTAAGTTAATCGGATATTGATAACCCTTTAATCGAAATACATTTTTATCAATAGTAAATATAATTTTAAAAATAAATTATTAACAAAACTATATTCCGATTGAGAAACTATCGATATCTGATCAATGTAATTTTTTATGAAGATGAAATACTCATCTAATTCTGCACAATGAATGGTTCGAATCATTGAAACGAGATATGTAGTGAACCCATAAACCTAACAATATGCTCTAGTCTACAAAATGGACTGGACAAAAAAACCATTCCTATAAAAAAATAATTACAAATTAGTAAAAAAAGTATAAATATTAATAATTAAAATTATAAATTTTTTCATGAATTTGTATTTTTTTTTTTCACTTGAACGTAATTTCCTCTTGAATAATTACTGATTAGTTTTGAATCATTTGTGTGCTGATTTTTTTAAAGGCCTAGGTTTATTTTTTTTTTTTAAAAAAAAAAAATGGGCCATTTTTTTTTAAAAAAAAAAAATTGGGCCACTCCCCCATTTTCCTTATTTTTAATCAAATTGGACCATGTTGTTGAGTCTGTCTGGGCTACACCGAACCCAAAATTAATAATGCAAATCGTTTAATGTATAGAACATGTTTAATACTTTAATTCCTTTAAAAATCACGTTGATCAGATATCAATAGTTATTTGATCAGTTCACATTTCTGTCAATGGTAAATATTATTTAAAAAAATTTGTCGACAAAAATACGATCTGATTAAATAGCTATCGATATTTGATTAATGTGATTTTTTTTACAAGGATGAAATACTTAACAAGTTCTACACATTAACGGTTCAAATTATTGAGACGGACTTTAAATAGGCCAGACTGGATGGTCCAATTAAGCTGTCCAATTAGAGACAATCCAATCCCCTTTTAAACTATATAATTGAGAATTAAATATTTCAATTAAAAAATTACTAGATCATTCTTTCTATTTTATTGTAAATCTTTTCTTAAAAAGTTTAAAAATTACTAAAAATTCAATTCTCAAACCAGCCAATCAATGACATAGTCAAAAATTTTGTGACTACAATAAATTGACTGACTTTAATTAACTAATTAGCAAATGATAGCTAATCAAAATACTACATAAACAATAGCAATGATATTACGAGAATATTTAATAATTTTTAGAGAAATTTTAATACAGTGGAATGAACAAAATAAAAAAGAAAATTACAAAAATATGTGAGGTATAAATGATTTTTGTTATGGACGCAAGCAAAAGGTTAGGGGGGGGGGGGGGGGGGGGGGGGCGGTGTTCAAGTGTGACTTGCACCCCTTCATATTTGTGTAATTTTTTTTCCCACGTTGGAATGTAATTCCCCTATAATTTTTCAACATAAACACATATATGTACATGTTTATTAAAGAGTAAATTACAGTGAGTTCAAAAAAAAAAAGTAAATTATATTAACCTTTTATGAAGTTTTAAAAAAATACAATAAATCTTACGAGCTTCACATAATTAGATCACACACCCTTAAAGCTTTTTGATTCGTCTAACACTTAGAGTTGGTTTGGGAAATGGGTTAGCTTTTTGGCTTTTTGATTTTTTTGACTATTTTATCCTAGGCTAAAAAGCTTGGTTTGTGAATGATTTTTTGACTTTTTGGCTTTTTTGACTTTTTTGTGAGAGAATAATGTAATGATTATGGGTTGGATGTGATGTTTTGTTTGTTGTGGCTAAAATAGCCTATTTTGTCTTCTATGACTAAAATAGCCAAAAAAGACCACAAAACCACTTCCCAAACTCTTTTAGCGTGTGTTTGGGAAGCAAGTTTCAGGCTAAATTAGAATAAATAATATTTTAATCTATTTTACATTGGAATAAATATTTTTCATTACATATCATTGTGTCTTCATACTATCTATATTAATTTTAATTTCTTTAATTTATTAAAAAATGAGGTCTTTGTAATTATATCAAAATTATGAAACATGTTATATTTTCTCTAAATTTTAAGGGAGGTCAATGTTTATTAAATTATGTTAAATGAGGTTAATCATATCCACCTATTATTTTTGTATTTATTAGACAGCTATATCACATAATGATATGATACCATTATTGTACTCAATTTTTATTTATTTATTTATTTTTATTTAAAGATTATCAACTAGCATTTGAGTAATTTAATTTTTTTTCCTGTTGTGCCTCACATTACTACTTAATTTACAGTTAGGGGTCCTTTTTTAATTTTTTTTAATTTATTATTATTTCAAAATATTTATGATCATTGTTATATTATATATGAAGAAAAATACTTCTTAGCTAAAAAAAAATTAGCCCGAAATGGCTCGAATATCAAAAATGACGTCGTTTTGGATATTTTTTTTTTTCTTTTCCTTTCCTTTCTGAAACAGACAGAAGAAAGAGAGAGGCGTGAGAGAAAAAAAGAAGGAGAAAAGACGGAGAGAATGAGGAGAAAGAGAAGAATAAGAAGGAGAAAAAATAGATAAGAAAAACAGAAAGGGGGAACAAATCTGATACACACAGATTTTTGTATGTATACACACCGAGGAGATGGTGATAGTAACGTCGGTGGGTGGCTCTCTCTCTCTCTCTCATATATATATATATATACACACACATATGTGTATATGCAGATCTGTATATACATAAATCTGTGTCTGTATACACAAATTTGTGTATACACAGAGGGAACGGTGATGGTGGCGCCGGTGGGTGGTTTTTTTTCTCTCTCTCTCTCTCTTTCTCTCTCTCTCATATATATATATATATATACACACACATATATTTGTGTACAGACACAAATCTTTATTTTTTGCTGAAATCTGACTTACATCCCCACCACCTCTAAAACACTTTTGACTTGTTCTTCTTCGCCACTTACCCACCTCTGTCCATTTATTTCTTTAAAATTCTGGTTAAACTCTGTACTATGAAGATGGATGAAGGGAGAGTTTTGTCATTGAGGAATATTTTGATGGTGTCTTTGGCTTTGAATGTTGGGTTGATTTTGTGGATTGGGTATATGGGTAAGAGTTGGTGGAGATCAAAATAGAGCTTTTCTGGGTCATGTTTGGAGGAGAAGCAGGAAAACAGAAAGAAAAGAGAGGGAAAAAAAAAATCCAAAATGACATCGTTTTGGAATTCGAGCCAGCCGTGTCAGCTCCCTTTCGAGCTACTTAGCAGCGTTGATATATGAATTTCAAAGGACAATAATTTTAAAGCATGATACACTCATTCTAGATGTTTTAATATGATGAAATTTGTGACATAAAATGCATGCCCTAATTCACATAGATAACATAAAAAAAAAAAAAAATGTGTGTTTTCTTGAGTACTTATAAACAGTGCAACATGTTTTTAATAAAAGTGTATCGTTCTAGAGGAAAGGATC